TTCTAACATTTTTTAAATAAAACGAATTATAAAATTTCAATATATGTATATTTGTCGTAAGTATGAAAAAAGTAAAATATAAAATGGACAAACGCTTACTTACATTGCAATAAAACTTCCACTTTTAGTTTTGCAATCCAAACGCAATATTTCTATTTCACAAATAAAAATATCCGACAACACTAAAATCACTGAAACTTCCGCGGCTGACAACGAAAACTGAAAAAACATAACGGCTTTTTTTTGTTTTGGACCTGCATATCAACATTACGCTGTACTATTATGTGTTTGTTGTTGAAATAATATTAAATATCTAATTTAACTTGTACATTTTAATATTTTAACATGATTTTAACTGCTTTTGACAATAACTAACTTTTTGTTATCAAGATGACATTTTAGACGGCAACTGACATATATGTCATAATATTTGAATCTTAAATATGTATGTAATATAATTTAAATTACTATAATGCAACTTTATACTAAGAAAACATTTATACATTCACAAAAATACAACAAAGTCTAATAATATAGTTTGAAAACAATGAATATTGAATTAAAATTGAAAAAGTTAAGCGCGACCCCTTGTGTCAAAATTAGATGATTAAATTTTCGCAATTTTTACACCATTTGATGACCGGTGGCGCCTCTAGTGTTTGTTCGGGCGGTTGGTCTTTTACTCCCGCTTATGGCCATTAAAGAAAAAGTTCTAAAGGGGGATGTTTTGTGTTTCTATCCAGAATTGGAGGACTTTATTTTCTTTGCCTAATTTGTTCAGGTTCTCTAGACCCGAGACCGTAATTAACAGTAAAAGAACAAAGTTGCATAATTATTATGCTAGGAGAAATCACAGGAAAAAGTCTGGCAACAGCGCTGTTGGCTATTTCATCTCTCGGCACTTTTTAGACCGGTTTTTGTTTGGTCTGAGTGTTTTTTCCTTTCGTTTGCGATTACGAACGGTCGGGCCGGGTATCGAGTGTCGCCCGATTCTCTCGTACGCGCAGTACCACTGCCGACGCGTGCTTATTCATGCGTTTTTCCACGGGAAAACGACGTTTTTTTGCCACGTACCGTCGGAAAAATGTACTGGCTCGCCCAGGACACTTTCCTACTAGGCCATGGTAAGGATACAAGTACCACCATAACAGCTGTTTCACATTTAACTCTATTTATTGTTAAATAAATTGCGCAGTAAATTTTTTATTATTTATTCATTCAAAGACTGTTTAAAATACTCTTTTAAACATATTTGGTGTGTTTGTGTTTTTATCAATAAAAAAAATAAGAAAATACTATTTTTCCCATAGTAACTGTTGAAATTAAAAAAAAGAGCAAGGGAGATTAAATAATACTTTAACAGCGAGGATGGGTTAAAAACTTTATTTCTTCTCGCACGTTTTTTAATTGCTTCCATTTTTGAAAAATTATCTATTCCTTTTCATAAGTTATTCGGGATTTTTTAAATGGAAGTAGTTTGGATATGGCGTTTGTCGCCTCAGCCTGAATATCTGTTGGTAATTTACTTATTTCGTTTTGTGCCATTCCCGGCTCCAATTCAATCCGCAATCGACACGAAAGAGAATTAAAAAATACTGACTCAAAACTGACAACTAAAGAGACTTATTTTATTTGTCAAATCACATAGAAACCAACGCTAACCCAGCACAATATTTTTTCTACTCTTTTTTTCGATCATACGGAACTTATTTTTCGTTTATTGTTCGAAAAAAGTCACTTATTTGGCTTCAAAAAAACAAATTCCACGGTGTATCTAGTTAGTAGAAACAGTCTAAGGTGTCATTAAATGTCGTATGTCGTTGCAAAACGCATCAAACGACTTTTTAACGCGATTCCTATGGCCACATGCGGTTACTTTACGATCATAATGCGAGCTTTAATGTAGCGGGCCACAAGCCAGAAATATCACTCACTATATTTTAAATTTTATTAAGTCTTCGCAAAATGTTGCAATAATATTCCATTTTATGATCTTTCTAATAGAAATCCCACACAAAAAAAAATTCTTTATAAAAAACTTACACCGCATGATCGAAAAAAAAAAGGTTCTCTTCCCCGAGACAAACGGTACATTGTGAGACAGGAAATTGTAGAAAGAAACAAGCCCTATAACATAGAATACAACATTTTAACGAAGAGTGCTTTCCATAAAATGAATAAAATGAAAAATATACGAAATAATATACATGCACTGATTTCTTTCGAAAATCGACTACTATGAAACTATGACTGTGACTATGATCCCGTCCCCAACACAAACGGTACATTGTGGGACAGGAAATTGTAAAAAGAAAGAAGCCCTATAACATAGAATACAACATTTTAATGTACAGTGCTTTCCATAAAATCAATAAAATGAAAAATATACAAAATAATAGACATGTACTGATTTCTTTCGAAAATCGACAACTATGAAACTATGATCCCGTCCCCGACACAAACGGTACATTGTGGGACAGGAAATTGTAGAGAGAAACAAGCCCTATAACATAGAATACAACATTTTAATGAACAGTGCTTTCCATAAAATCAATAAAATGAAAAATATACGAAATAATAGACATGTACTGATTTCTTTCGAAAATCGACAAATATGAAACTATGATCCCGTCCCCGACACAAACAGTACATTGTGGGACAGGAAATTGTAGAAAGAAAGAAGCCCAATAACATAGAATACAACATTTTAATGAACAGTGCTTTCCATAAAATCAATAAAATGAAAAATATACGAAATAATAGACATGTACTGATTTCTTTCGAAAATCGACAACTATGAAACTATGATCCCGTCCCCGACACAAACGGTACATTGTGGGACAGGAAATTGTAGAAAGAAACAAGCCCTATAATATAGAATACAACATTTTAATGAACAGTGCTTTCCATAAAATCAATAAAATGAAAAATATACGAAATAATATACATGCACTGATTTTCGAAAATCGACAACTATGAAACTATGATCCCGTCCCTTCGACACAAAATCTTGCAACATTGTGATTGGTGAAATTGTAGAAACAAAGCCCTATAACATAGAATCACAACATTTTAATGTACAGTGCTTTCCATAAAATCAATAAAATGAAAAAATATAGTAGACATGCCTTTCGATTTCTTTCGAAAATCGACAACTATGAAACGCGATCCCGTCCCCGACACAAACGGTACATTGTAAGACAGGAAATTGTAGAGAGGAACAAGCCCTATAACATAGGATACAACATTTTAATGAACAGTGCTTTCCAAAAAAACAATAAAATGAAAAATATACGAAATAATATACATGTACTAATTTCTTTCGAAAATCGACAGCTATGAAACTATGAACCCTTCCCGGACACAAACGGTACATTGTGAGACAGGAAATTTTAGAGAGGAACAAGCCCTATAACATAGAATACAACATTTTAATGAACAGTGCTTTCCATAAAATCAATAAAATGAAAAATATACGAAATAATATACATGTACTGATTTCTTTCGACAACTATGAAACTATGATCCCTTCCCCCACACAAACGGTACATTGTGAGACAGGAAATTGTTGAGAGAAACAAGCCCTATAACATAGGATACAACATTTTAATGAACAGTGCTTTCCATAAAATCAATAAAATGAAAAATATACGAAATAATATACATGTACTGATTTCTCTCGAAAATCGACAACTATGAAACTATGTTAACTATAAACTTCCCCGACACAAACGGTACATTGTAAGACAGAAAATTGTAGAGAGGAACAAGCCCTATAAAATAGGATACAACATTTTAATGAACAGGGCTTTCCAAAAAAACAATAAAATGAAAAATATACGAAATAATATACATGTACTAATTTCTTTCGAAAATCGACAGCTATGAAACTATGATCCCGTCCCCTATACAAACTTGTACATTGTGGGACAGGAAATTGAAAGAAACAAGCCCTATAATATAGAATACAACATTTTAATGAACAGTGCTTTCCATAAAATCAATAAATGAAAATATACGAAATAATATACATGCACTGGATTTCTTTCGAAAATCGACTACTATGAAAACCATGATCCTGTCCCCGACACAAACGGTACATTGTGGACAGGAAATTGTAGAAAGAAACAAGCCCTATAACATAGAATACAACATTTTAATGAACAGTGCTTTCCATAAAATCAATAAAATGAAAAATATACGAAATAATAGACATGTACTGATTTCTTTTCGAAAATCGACAACTATAAACTATGATCCCGTCCCCCGACACAAACGGTACATTGTGGGACAGGAAATTGTAGAAAGAAACAAGTCTTATAACATGTATCACAACATTTTAATGAATGCTTCCATGTAAAATCAATAAATGAAAAATATACGAAATAATAGACATGTACTGATTTCTTTCGAAAATCGACAACTATGAAACTATGAACCCTTCCCGAACACAAACGGTACATTGTGAGACAGGAAATTGTAGAAAGAAACAAGCCCTATAACATAGAATACAACATTTTAATGAACAGTGCTTTCCATAAAATCAATAAAATGAAAAATATACGAAATAATATACATGTACTGATTTCTTTCGAAAATCGACAACTATGAAACTATGAACCCTTCCCGAACACAAACGGTACATTGTGAGACAGGAAATTGTAGAAAGAAACAAGCCCTATAACATAGAATACAACATTTTAATGAACAGTGCTTTCCATTAAATCAATAAAATGAAAAATATACGAAATAATATACATGTACTGATTTCTTTCGAAAATCGACAACTATGAAACTATGATCCCTTCCCGGACAGAAACGGTACATTGTAAAGAAGCCCTGTAACATAGGATACAACATTTTAATGAACAGTAGCCTACGCTTAAAAAATTAGTTACAATTACCTATTTTCCGTTTAAATAATTTAGAATTTAGGTATTTTTATGTTTTTTAGTGTCATATTGTTTGTTGTTTTATTTAAATTTTTATTTCTGTTTTAGCGCCTGTTCCAGTGGAACCCATTCCACTCTCTGTACCCACGATGCCTCCGGTGGGGTTTCAACTAGTACGGGATTCCGCCACTGGAGGTCTCCTACTCCTACCCACTACCACCGGAATAGGTTAGTCATTTTTATTTTATGTTTACTTGTTTTACACGTCTACCTATACAGAAGCCTTATTCTACCTGTTGGATGTTGAGTAAGCAAAATATTCTCTATCTTTTCCAGAACCTCTCCAACAAACTGTGGTTTGGCCAAGTTATCCTCAACATTCTTCAGTTCTTCTGCCGTCTCTATCTTCCATGCAACCTCCTCCGTTGCAACTCCTCAGCTCAGCCTCGTCAGACTACTTGTCTAGCAGTACCACCCTTCAACACACCCAAACTCATAGTACCAGACTCGTTGCAGTCACTACAGACACTAAAAGAAAGATTCCTCTACCTCTACCCGCTACCACTTTGATCAAAATCGAAACAGATGGTACTCTCGATCAAACCAAGACACTCCAGGCTGTCAGTACCATAGCTAGTAACACTGGGACTGTTTTTACTACCGACCAAAGCGTACCACCGCTGGTTACAACTCACGTTATCTACCCTACAAACCTTATATTGTCTCAAACTCCCAATCCTACAGCTGTCGAGTCAAATTCTTGTAGATCGCAAGCAACCTCTCCAGTTGCAACATGTTTGACACCTCCTCCGGAGCTGGTAGTACCGCATCAGGAAGAAGAACCTATTAGCAATGTTCCTGCCATGATGGTACAAGATGCCAGCAACCAGACAGATACGCCGATTTGCAGTGAGGATGATAACACCACCCACACAATTCCAGATGTAATTGGTGAAGAAAAAATTAAAGAAATACCAGAAGAACCAAAAATAATCGAAGAACACGCTACAATAGTTGAAGAAATTGTGTCAAACGAAACTCTGATTGAAGCTCCAGTTCAAGAACCCCCAGTAAGTGAAGTAGTAACTTCCTCACGAATTTTACCGCCACCAACTGAATGTGAGGTGATTCAAGATGAAGAATCTGAAGATAAAGGCTCATCACCAGATCTAAGCGGCCTAGAACTACTTTCAAACAGTATCGTCGAGTTTGAGAGTTGTAGAAACTCGGTTGAAGAAAGATCGTCGGAATCGTTATCGGAAACATCCCAAGACATCTCCATATCACCTCCAGAAGAGATACCCTCTCCTAAAATAGAGTCCCAGGACAATTCTTCGTCCATTTCACTACACATGGAGGATACACTCGGTGGTTTGGATCTACTCTGTGCTCTAGCCGAGCAAAGAATCTTGGAGGAAAACATTGAGAAGCCTGCCAAAGAAAAATCAGAGAGATCCAAAGAAAAGCATAGAAACAAAGAACGCAGAAGGGAGAAAAGGAAAAAGAAACATTCTTCCGATGAGCATAGAAGAAAGAAACTTAAAAGTGATAAAAGAAGGTCCAGCGAAGAAAAGCGTGAACGCCATTCTAGGAAAAAAGAACGTAAAGAGTCTTCAGATAAAACTGATTCTGATAGAGCTGAAAAACAAGAATGTTCATGTAAATACAAGCACTACAAAACGCCCGAGTCTGAGCAAGAAGTCCGGAAATTCCTTGAAAGCAAATCATCGCAGAATTTCTGTTGCAAAGGAGACTGGCCTTGCATGAACGCCATCGAGCTTGACATGAGAATGAAACTTGCAGAACTCCAAAGAGAATACCGTGAAAAACAAAAGGAACTCAGCAAATTGAAGCCTAAAAAACACTCGCATCACTCCGAATGCCCTAAAAAGAAATCCAGAAAGAAATCGACTCATTCAGAACGAAGTAACACACCCCCTCCTTTGCTGGACAAAATGGACTTGCCTGTTAAAGAAACTAAGGAACCTTCGGAGCTGTTGAAACCTCCCAAATTGTCCGTGATGCCTAAATTAGGGGAGTCCCATAAAAGACGTCACTCTGAGACGGAATCTTTGCCAGAAACACACTCTTCGAAGAAGAGGAAAGTTGGGAGGCCTAAAAGACTTATGACAGGTGGTGAGACAGTCACTACCGAAACCATAGTTTCCAAGAAGCCTAAAAACAACTTTGTCGAGTATTTTCTGGCTGCCAAACAAAAACTGAAGCAACAGAACAAAGTTTATACCGATTCAACTCCTCCGAGGTATATAGAAGGAAACTACATTCACAAATTGAAGAAAGTGAAGAATAATAACACTATAATTTTGGACGACGTGAAGTCTTCGAAGATACGACCCAAACTCAAGGCTGAAGCGACCTTTAAAGATGAGGATGAATTGAACTCCGAGGATGAAGATAATATTGAGGAAGATGAAGAGGTTGTTGGGCATAGTGATGAGGAGGTTGCTGAAGAGGAAATGGAAACAGCGGTGGAAGAAATGGAGGTTGATAAGGAGATTGACGTTAAAAATGAAGAAATACCTGTGGAAAAAGAAAAAGAATGTAAGGAAGTGGAGGAACTGCCCAATCCATGCGCGTTGACTGAACAGCATTTGGAAATGGATAAGTTGAGGGTACTGACAGCAATGGGAGGACTGTTTTATGCCGGACAATTGAACGCTATTGAACCACCTGATGTCTACTCGATTACCTTGGATGGGGAAAGAGGTAATAGGCCTCATATAATGTCCAGAGAGGAGATCTTAAGAGATGCAGTGAGTATATTTTTGTTATTTTTGTAACGAAACCTCCGCAGGGTTGAAACAGGGTTGGGGAAAGACACGTAGAAAATTATTTATCTACGTGTATGTAGAAAAATACGTAGAAACGTATAAAATCCGAGTACATGTTCAAAATCAATTTTGTACATTTAAAGCCGTTTTTCCCTTTACAAGTCTCCTCTTTTGTATTTTCTTTAAATTCTATAAGTGTTAAAACTGTAAAATACAAGTTTTGGTTGTTCTTTTTTTCATTTTTATCAAAGAACCCTGGTTTTATGCACTATGTATACAGTGTATTATTATATTGAAAGTTTGTAGTTCTAAAAATTTTACATAAAAAATATAATTATATTACAAAAAAAAATATTTTTTCTCGAATTTTAAACTCAAAATAGTTTTTAATCAATATAAAAATAAATTACAACTTTTGTAAGCGCTATGAAAAAATTAAGAGGTGTACGGGCCAAGTAAATGACGTTAAAGGCTTGACCTCGCCAAAATTATCATCGATTGTTATTCCCCAGCCGTCTTTGACGTCATTTTTTTTTCGATTTTATAAATATATATCAACAAAATTTCGAGATCTCGATGACAATCTATACTGACATACTGATTAATCACGATCCTGCTCAAACCACTCAACGTAAGAAGCGCAATTTTGGCATACAGGTTGATTCTAGGGTCTAGAGGTTCGATAAAAAGGGATTTTTCGAAATTCCAGTTCCAAGAGGGTGAAACCACCCCTCAAATATTACAATATTTTTTATTTATAAAACGGTCAAGTTTCCGAAAAAAACGCTTAAACACGTATATTTTATTTTGTTTTTTTACATATTTTAAGATTTTTTAAAAATGTATACGGGGCGTTTCGAAAAATCTGGTCATTGATTAATCACGCTTGACGTAAAAAGCTGATTTTTGGAAAACAGGTTGACTTTAGGGTGTAGAGGTTCGATAAGAAGGGATTTTTCGAAACTCGAATTCTAAGGGGGTGAAACTATCCCTCAAATATTAAAATATTTTTTATTTGAAAACCGGTGAGTTTTTCGAAAAAACTCTTAAACACGTATATTTTATTTTGTCGTTTTACATATTTTAAGATTTTTTATAAATTTATACAGGGTGTTTCAAAAAATATGACCATTGAGTAGTCACGATTCTGCTTAAACTGCTTGACGTTTAAAGCTGATTTTTGGCAAACGGATTGACTGTGGGGTGTAGAGGTTCGATAAGGAGGGGTTTCTCGAATCTCAAATTCCAAGAGGGTGAAAACGTCCCTCAAATATTACAATATTTTTTATTTAAAAAACGGTTAGTCTTTCGGGAAAACGCTTGGACAAGCATAATTTATTTGGTTTTTTTACATATTTTGAAATTTTTAAAAAATCATACAGGGTGTTCCAAAATGTTGGGTAATTTCTTAACCACGATTCTGCTTAAACTGCTTGACGTAAAAAGCTTATTTTTAGCAAACCGATTTTTCGAAAGTCAAATTCCAACGAGATGAAACTACCCCTCAAATATTACCAAGTTATATAATAATATCGCCATATAGTTTTTTCTCATGCTGACATAAATGTGAGAAAATTTTATCCAGTTTGTATGTTAATGGAAATTCTTGCTTGACTTTATCATCACCATTACAAATGATTAATTCGACGCGAACGAAGTCGCTGATACACGCTAGTTTTTCTTATAAAATTCAAATCGTCAACAAAAAAAAAAGATCAACATCATGACTGACATTTACACGATATTAGTAGATAATAAACCCCGTATTTCTGGAGGCCGATATTATACAGTCCGCTTGAATAAAAATACGAAAAAAATAAAGAACGATGATTCGTGGTTTTCAATTCGCGAGACAGACTCGAACGTAAGAAACGCGTAGAAAAGAGATGGATACCCTCAGACGAGATGCGATCGACCAGATATGAAGTCCAAGAAGAACCATGCAGAGCGCTGGGTCGCTCTCAACAAGATTGTAGAAATGAAAAATGGAAGGAAAAAAAGATGAAAAAGACAGAGGCGGAGGTTTCGTTAGGGATGGGCAAATATTGAAAAAAAAACGATATCGATTTTTATACAGTATCGATATTTTAGAAAAATCGATATCGATATTTTGAAACTCCTTCCAAAAAAATTGGGAGCTTCAGGGTTGGGTAGGTAGAAAATTTTATATTCTCTACCGTATTTTCTACACGTAGAAAATTAATTTTCCAAACCACAAATACAATATGGTAGCGCACTTGCCCAAGAGATATATAATGAAGAATATGAAAGCCGAATAAATTGAAACACCCTGTATTTGAGTCCAATTTTTGTCTCAAAATAAATTACTTATCCTCTGATCGTTAATGTTATTTTCCAGATTGTGGAAGTGGCTCCTAAAACAACCGAAGAATTGATAATGGGAACTCGACTGTGTGCTTACTGGAGTCAGCAATATCGCTGTCTTTATCCAGGGAGTGCTGCCGAGCCTGGAACTCCCGATCCTCACCTGGATGGCAAATTTGTGTCGGTTGAATTCGACGATGGAGATAGTGGAAAGATATCCCTCCAAGATATCAGACTCTTGCCACCTAATTATCCCATTGTTGGTAAGTTTTTAAAAAATGTATTGTTTCTTTTTGTTATGACGAGTATTTGTAATTCACATCGCACAGTGGGGTATTTGGCACAGATAGTTGATCGAATTTTTTTTATGTAGACCTTATATAAATTGTTGCTATTTTCAATTAAAGAGGAAATAATATGAACAAAATAAAGGATAATAATTCGTCGATTCTAAAAAAAAAGAAAGAAAAATCACTGTTCTAGTGTTTCCACGGTCAATGCCACTAATGCCAGTAGTAATATCGCAACTAATACTACTAATGCTACGACTGATCCGCGACCAATGCCCATACCACTAAAGTCGCTACTAATGCCAAATTGTGCTATACTGCTAATGAATGGCACTAATGCGATCGCTTTGTACACAACAATGCCATAGCGGTTTACACCTCGCATTAGTATATCACTGATTGGAAAATTAAAGGAAACCAAGAATGTTTTTCTCATTTTGTCAGCAAAGTCGCAAAAAGTCGCAGTATTTTATTTTACTGTATGAAAGCTCAATGTTTACTAAGTAAAGCGTATATAGACAATATGCTGAATTCTTCGAAATGTGCAACTAAATCTCTAAGTAATAATAAAAATGTCACAAATTTAATCAAATTTTCTGAACACCTAACTTTTACTTGCAAAAAAAATCGTTAGTATAGAGAATATCAAAATAAATAATACGTTTTTGTAGAATACATACCTGCAGAGCCATCTTCAATAAACAATAATATAAACGTAAAAAGAGCACAAGAACAACAACAATTTATAATTTTAAACATAAAATTTAGCCATTTACCTCTTATCTGTGAGAAGTAACAACTTTGACGTTTCGTTGAAACAAATGAATGCAACTAAACACACCCATAGCAACGCCATTCATGGCAGACATGATTTAACTTATCATTTATTTAATTTTTGGGAAATTTTCGAATTTCGATCACCTTTTTCATGCTAATACCCCACCGTGCATCGGAAGGATTCACATAGGATGACATTTCAGGAGAATGAACCTGTAGCACCTAAAAAAGAAACCTGTAAAATTGTCAACAATTTTTTTGCAAAAAAACATGGTGTCGAAATATACTACCAGTTGTACAGGGGTACAGGTTATCGATTAAAAAAAAATATCGATTAAAAATATTTTCAATATGGCGGTACTTCAGAAAATACCGGTAGTTGACAGCAACTTTCTTATTTTAAATGGGTACCCGCATTTTTATTACATACTTAAATTCTCTGTAAAATTTTATGTGAATTTTGATATTAAACATTAACCGTTTTTGAGATAAAAATATTTAAAATTTTTGAACGAAAAACTGCCTTCAGTCAAAAAAAGTGTGTATAGCCTAAACGTCAAATTTAGTGATTACCACAACCATAAAATAATTAACTAGAAAGAAATGTCAACTCTGTGTTAAATCGTGGAAACACGATACGCCACCGAAAGCCTTCGTTGTCGTCTGGAGAACTAATTTTCCAATTGACAGGTTGACATGATGGCTTCATTTTTATTTCCGTTTCCGGTTATTCAATGGCGGGAGTTTAAATGTATTTTGTACTCTTTCTTATAAATAAAACAAAACAAAATTTTATTCAAACATATTTAGTTGAAATATGAGACAACGTGACTAAATAAATATAAAAAATAAAGAATTGAATGATTTCTACAGCAATAACTTAATTATATGCAATTTTAACGTAAATTAGTAAGGTATAAGCATGACTTACAGTAATTTGTAAATAAATACACGTATTCACAGCCATCAGGGACAGAAAACGGGGGCAGGAACATGAAAACGGGAGCCTTATACAAAAACCTGAAAACAAAAAACAAATTTTTTTATACTAAAATTAACAATGTAAAAATATCAATAGGTATAAAATATAAATATACTGTTTAAAAAAAGCGTCCATTATTCCCAAAGAGACCTGGCTCATAAATCAAAAAGAAGCAAAAAGAGACTTTTAGTCGGATAACATAATCAGATTATCAGTCCGATTTATTGCATTATTGACAATAAATCGCACATACTGCAGATAACTAATGTTGGCTATAGTTAAAAATGATCTTACCTTGCTGTAAATTGTTTCCATTTTCAAAAAAATCGCTGATCAAAGAGATAACACCATTTTCTCTGCATCTATAAAATGTAAAAACAGTGTTTATTTACTACCTATTTTTCATATACATGGGACATACCTACTACTGCAGAAACGTCATTTTCCCCAGGATTCTTCATGTAATATATATTTTATATACTTTATTACATTTATATTGTAATATACAAAAAACATGCTGTCCTTGTCTAGGCGGCCATACTTGTCGTGAGGAGAATGACAGGAATGACACTAATGACTGTTTCCAATTTTCCTATTTCACTGTCACCCCCCTGGCCACAACCACTGTAACCTAAAAAGAAGACATATGAAATAAAAAAAGTGGGTTTCCATTTGAAAAAAATGATTTATGATAATTTTTTAATCGCTCAATTCCATGACAGCCACCGCCATTATTATATGACATTCGAACAATTCAATTTTTGAAATAGATAGCCTAGTAACTGTGGTAATCACTATGCTGTCAACTTCCGGTATTTTCGGAAGTGCCGCCATATTGAAAATACTTTTAATTGATAGATCTCGTTGTGAAACAATGATGTGCAAAAAATCACCAATCTAGATATTGTAGATCTCTAGAAACTTCTAATGCACGCTCAGCCTGAGACCCCTGTATACCTACTTGCACTTATTTAAAACACACATTGTATAAAACTCTTCTAGCATGGTTCTTTCTTTCAGAATACGATCCAAACCCCTTGCTGAGTCTATCAAAACGTAAACGACGTACTTCTACCAGCGTTTCCACCGAAGAAAAACATCAACCAATTGAACCATCACAAACACCACAAAATCCAATCGCCAAACAAACTATCGTACCAGAACAATCAACTCCCAATCCTACCGAATCAACCCTAACAGAAGACCATCACAAAGAAAAGAAAAGACAGAAGAAAAAGAAGAGGGAGAAGATCAAGAAGAAGCACAAGTGCTGCGAGGAGTTTTGCAAGCACAAAAAGCACCACAAGAAACACAAAAAACACAAGAAGCATCACGACAAAGAAACAAGGTACAGCACGAGCTCTGAGGATTCTGTTAAACAGGACTGTAGCCTGGAGGTTATCAATGAAGAAGAGTCTGGGGCAGAAGATGTTGAAGAATCAAAGGTTGAAAATGAAAATGCTGGAGAGAAAGCATGTGAAGTTAAAGAAAATGGTGATGTAAATGATGAAAATGATAATGAAGATGATGTGAAAAGTGTTTTAGATGAGGAAGGCACGAAGCTAATACAGAAGATGAAGCTACGATGGATGAAATTTTGGATATAACAAGAAATAATGTAAGATTTTAATGCAATTTCTTTTTAAGTGTTTTTGATTTTTTTTCTTAATTTTGATGATAGAAATCGAAGAAAATTCGGGATAGGCAGGAATCGTCAGAAAGTAGGAGCATGATGAGGGCATTCTTGCCTGACAGACAGATGTGGCATTGGGCTGGCGATGGTCTAAAACGACGTAAAGGCAAGACAAAGTACAAAAAGTGCATCTATTACAAGTCGATTGAACGTGGCAAAGAATCAATTAACGTAGTGTATTTTTTAGGTTTTCTTTGATTCTTCTCTTTACAAATTTCAATTTTTTGTGTTTTTTTGCGCTTTTCTGTATCTATTTTTTATTCTTTCTGGTTTATTTTATAATATGTTTTATACCAAGTGTATAAATCTGGAAAGATATTGTGTTAGGGATTGGCATTACAGTGGAATTAATTGGAAAATTTAAAAATTTTTGTGATATGTAGCTCTTTTGATAAACCTGTCAGTTTTCTTTTGGCGCATTTGAATATTTGTGACTTTTTTGTACTTTTCTCTGTTTATTTTAAATTATTTCATGTTTACAAAGGTTTTTTTGCATAGGGTATAAATCAAGAAAGATCAGAGTCAGGGCTTGAATTATAGTGGAAATCTTAAAATTTAAATCTCAATTTTTAAAAGACAGAAGGGTTGGGTTGGGTTATATGGTAAGGGACGTCATGGTAGCCATTTTGATACACCTTTCAGTTCTCTTTTATTCTTATTTTGGCAAATTTAAATTTTTGTGAGTTTTTTGTCCACTTCCGTGTATTTTAAAGTATTTCTTGTTTACAAAGACTACAATGAATTTTTATACAATGTATATAAATCTGGAAAAAGGTTGTTCCAGGGCTTGAATTACTGTGGACTTATCGGGAATCTTAAAATTAAAATTTATATTCCTAAAAAGATGAAAGGGGCGTCATGGTAACCATTTTGATAAACCTTTCAATTTTCTTTGACCTTTTTCTTGAAAAATTTTCACAATTATTGAATGAAGTTTTTTGCGATCTCTTCTTCATTTATTTTTAATTATTTTCTGTTTATTTTATAATCTTTTTTTTATAAAGATGTTGTCAGCGTTTAAACGACTGTAGAATTATTGTAAATTATTACTTAAAGACCGAAAGGACGTCATAGAAGTCATTGTAGTTTTCTTTGACTTTTCTTTTGACAAATTATTTTCTTTTTTACCTTTTTCCTTGGTTATCTTTAATGGGCTCTTTCACTATATTTTCGAATTAGCATAATTGAATAAAGCAATTAATTCTAGAATTTTCTGCTATCTCACTTTTGAAAAATTTGAAGTCGTTCTTAAGAAAATAAATAAAACACCTGGTCATACCTGGCATGTTGGAAAGCGGCAACACGGCCGCGGCCGGTCCACCATGCTGACCCACCACCACCTCCACACAAGGCCATTCAACCTTTTCCAATATGGCGGAGGTAGAAGTTCTTTATTTAGCGCGTATTTTAAAACCTGTTTTATTTCCAAATAAACATTTTTCACACAAATGACGGGTTAGATTACGTAATATTTCACTAATTTTTTAATATACAGGGAGTCTAAAGTTCTCCACATAAGTATGGAATTTTTTGTATTATTACTTTTATGAAAACATCAGTTAGGTTTACGCTTAGCTTAGTTTTCTTTACTCTTTCTATTTACATAGGGCATTGTCTTTGTGGTAAAGACATCATTCCATTTTTTTGCATAGTTCTTCAATAAAATATTGGATATTCTAAACAAGATGGATTTAATAATAAACTCTGACGTATGTGAGGGGCAATTGTGACCTAAAAAAAGACTTACATCCAGGCCATTTATATTTTCAAATGTCAAAGTTGTCAATATCTTTCTGTGATCTTTTTGACGTAAAAAGCTTGATTCTTCTTCCAATATTTTACTTATAGTGAGGTAAGTGTAAGCAGTAGCCATAACTACATCCTCACTAGGGTAACAGAGGCTTTGGGGCCTTTGACCTTTTTGAGGCATATTTAATACACTTCTTACCCGAAAACTACTAATAGGAGTGAAATTTTCTCTTTTAATAGCTGTCAACCATTTTTTACGAAGCTTGGGGAATATGCAAGCAGAAACCTTGGGACCCCCTCTATAATTCCCGTGACAATTTGGAACAGAGCATGTAAAAGGCATGCTACAATAAAATGTTAATACCTACCCTTTAATACCTATCTTTTGATTATTGTAAGTAACCATTATAAAATAGCGTATGATCGAAAAAAAACGGCGTCCAGTTGGCTTGGAAATGACAATCGATGACATTTCCCATATAAATTTACATATAAAATGACAGCGATCTTCATTTCATAGCCATCGCTGACGCCGTTTTTTCTCGATCATACGGTACTATGCAGACTGGCGGCGAAGGCTTTTTACTCATTTAGGTGTAATATCTTGATAAATAATTCTAGTTCTTACCTTAAAATAACTAATAATAGAGGAGTACGACAAGCACAAAAGTTTGAAGTTCCCTATGTGGAACGTCTGGTTTTGATTTTTGTTACACTGTTATCACAATTTTCTGATCACTCTTTCTTATCATAAATAAAACAAAACAAAATTTTATTCAAACATATTTATTTGAAATATGAGACAACGTGACTAAATAAATATAAAAAATAAAGAATTGAATTATTTCTACAGCAATAACTTAATTATATGCAATTTTAACGTAAATTAGTAAGGTATAAGCATGACTTACAGTAATTTGTAAATAAATACACGTATTCACAGCCATCAGGGATAGCCTAGTAACTGTGGTAATCACTATATTTGACTTTTAGGCCATACAATTTTTTTTGACAGGTAGTTTTTTTCGTCCAAAAATTTGAAATATTTTTTTTCAAAAACGGTTAATGTTAGGTATAGAGTTTTTAACATTAATATTCATAGAATTTTACAGAGAATTTAAGTATGTAATAAAACATGGAGGCACCCATTTAAAATAAGAAAGTTGCTGTCAACTTCCGGTATTTCCGGAAGTGCCGCCATATTGAAAATACTTTTAATCGATAGATCTCGTTGTGAAACAATGATGTGCAAAAAATCTTCGATCTAGATATTGTAGTTCTCTAGAAACTTCTAATGGCCGTTCAGCCTGGGTCACCCTGTATATCTACTGCACTTATTTAAGACACACATTGTATAAAACTCTTCTACCATGGTTCTTTCTTTCAGAATACGATCCAAACCCCTTGCTGAGTCTATCAAAACGCAAACGACGTACTTCTACCAGCGTTTCCACCGAAGATAAACATCAACCAATCGAAACATCACAAACACCACAAAATCCAATAGCCAAACAAACTATCGCACCAGAACAATCAACTCCAAATCCTACCGAATCGACCCTAACAGAAGACCATCACAGGGAAAAGAAAAGACAGAAGAAAAAGAAGAGGGAGAAGATCAAGAAGAAGCACAAGTGCTGCGAGGAGTTTTGCAAGCACAAAAAGCACCACAAGAAACACAAAAAACACAAGAAGCATCACGACAAAGAAACAAGGTGCAGCACGAGCTCTGAGGATTCTGTTAAACAGGATTGTAGCCTGGAGGTTATCAATGAAGAAGAGTCTGGGGCAGAAGATGTTGAAGAATCAAAGGTTGAAAATGAAAATGCTGGAGAGAAAGCATGTGAAGTTAAAGAAAATGGTGATGTAAATGATGAAAATGATAATGAAGATGATGTGAAAAGTGTTTTAGATGAGGAAGAGCACGAAGCTAATACAGAAGATGAAGCTACGATGGATGAAATTTTGGATATAACAAGAAATAATGTAAGATTTTTAATGCAATTTCTTTTTGTGTTTTTGATTTTTTTCTTAATTTTGATGATAGAAATCGAAGAAAATTCGGGATAGGCAGGAATCGTCAGAAAGTAGGAGCATGATGAGGGCATTCTTGCCTGACAGACAGATGTGGCATTGGGCTGGCGATGGTCTAAAACGACGTAAAGGCAAGACAAAGTACAAAAAGTGCATCTATTACAAGTCGATTGAACGTGGCAAAGAATCAATTAACGTAAGTGTATTTTTTTAGGTTTTCTTTGATTCTTCTCTTTACAAATTTCAATTTTTTTGTGTTTTTTTGCGCTTTTCTGTATCTATTTTTATTCTTTCTGGTTTATTTTATAATATGTTTTATACCAAGTGTATAAATCTGGAAAGATATTGTGTTAGGGATTGGCATTACAGTGGAATTAATTGGAAAATTTAAAATTTTTGTGATATGTAGCTCTTTTGATAAACCTGTCAGTTTTCTTTTGGCGCATTTGAATATTTGTGACTTTTTTGTACTTTTCTCTGTTTATTTTAAATTATTTCATGTTTACAAAGGTTTTTTTGCATAGGGTATAAATCAAGAAAGATCAGAGTCAGGGCTTGAATTATAGTGGAAATCTTAAAATTTAAATCTCAATTTTTAAAAAGACAGAAGGGTTGGGTTGGGTTATATGGTAAGGGACGTCATGGTAGCCATTTTGATACACCTTTCAGTTCTCTTTTATTCTTATTTTGGCAAATTTAAATTTTTGTGAGTTTTTTGTCCACTTCCGTGTATTTTAAAGTATTTCTTGTTTACAAAGACTACAATGAATTTTATACAATGTATATAAATCTGGAAAAAGGTTGTTCCAGGGCTTGAATTACTGTGGACTTATCGGGAATCTTAAAATTAAAATTTATATTCCTAAAAAGATGAAAGGGGCGTCATGGTAACCATTTTGATAAACCTTTCAATTTTCTTTTACCTTTTTCTTGAAAAATTTTCACAATTATTGAATGAAGTTTTTTGCGATCTCTTCTTCATTTATTTTTAATTATTTTCTGTTTATTTTATAATCTTTTTTTTATAAAGATGTTGTCAGCGTTTAAACGACTGTAGAATTATTGTAAATTATTACTTAAAGACCGAAAGGACGTCATAGAAGTCATTGTAGTTTTCTTTGACTTTTTCTTTTGACAAATTATTTTCTTTTTTACCTTTTTTCCTTGGTTATCTTTAATGGGCTCTTTCACTATATTTTCGAATTAGCATAATTGAATAAAGCAATTAATTCTAGAATTTTCTGCTATCTCACTTTTGAAAAATTTGAAGTCGTTCTTAAGAAAATAAATAAAACACCTGGTCACACCTGGCATGTTGGAAAGCGGCAACACGGCCGCGGCCGGTCCACCATGCTGACCCACCACCACCTCCGCACAAGGCTATTCAACCTTTTCCAATATGGCGGAGATAGAAGTTCTTTATTTAGCGCGTATTTTAAAACCTGTTTTATTTCCAAATAGACATTTTTCACACAAATGACGGGTTTAGATTACGTAATATTTCACTAATTTTTTAATATACAGGGAGTCTAAAGTTCTCCACATAAGTATGGAATTTTTTGTATTATTACATTTATGAAAACATCAGTTAGGTTTACGCTTAGCTTAGTTTTCTTTACTCTTTCTATTTACATGGGGCATTGTCTTTGTGGTAAAGACATCATTCCTTTTTTTTGCATAGTTCTTCAATAAAATATTGGATATTCTAAACAAGATGGATTTAATAATAAACTCTGACGTATGTGAGGGGCAATTGTGACCTAAAAAAAGACTTACATCCAAATGTCAATGTTGTCAATATCTTTCTGTGATCTTTTTGATGTAAAAAGCTTGATTCTTCTTCCAATATTTTACTTATAGTGAGGTAAGTGTAAGCAGTAGCCATAACTACATCCTCACTTGGGTAACAGAGGCTTTGGCCTTTAGCCTTTTTGAGGCATATTTAATGCACTTCTTACCCGAAAACTACTAATAGGAGTGAAATTATCTCTTTTAATAGCTGTCAACCATTTTTTAAGAAGCTCGTCATTTTTGGGGAATATAAAAGCAGAAACCTTGGGACCCCCTCTATAATTCCCGTGACAATTTGGAACAGAGCATGTAAAAGGCATGCTACAATAAAATGTTAATACCTACCCTTTAATACCTATCTTTTGATTATTGTAAGTAACCATTATAAAGTACTATGCAGACTGGCGGCGAAGTAATATCTTGATAAATAATTCTAGTTCTTACCTTAAAATAATTAATAATAGAGGAGTACGACAAGCACAAAAGTTTAAAGTTCCCTATGTGGAACGTCTGTTTTTGATTTTTGTTACACTGTTATCACAATTTTCTGATCACACCATGCACTGAACACTAAGAACTAAACAAACGTGTTGCAGAAGCACAACAAACTAGAGATAATTAATTATTTCTGGTATGCAATCGGAACGAGAAACCACTACCGGCTTTTCAGGTTAAAGGTAAACAGTTTAATAATGCGCTGCCCTCGCCGCCATATTTGCCTTGCCCATATCATGTTGATTGGCCTTGAATTGAGGTGGTGCTGGTCAAGTCAAATCGCAATGTTGCCAGTTGTTGGCTGGCGCACGAGCACGGTTCTGAAGTGTGATTGGGCGTATTTTTCATATATCAATTTAAAATTGTTTCAAATTAAAGCAATTTTGAGGGCCTATAAAAAATTATTCAATGTCATGGAACTACTTTTTTTGGATAAATATACTGAAAATAGCCCATTATTTTTCGTTTATTTTTTAGTTGGTTTTATGCAAAGCTGGAAATATATTGTGTCAGGGTTTGAATTACAATGAGACAATTGTGAATCTTAGGTTGTTTAACTATTTTTATAATAATTTAATTTCAATAATTTGCGATTTCTTTTTAGTATGGATTTGATTATTTTTATAAAAATGTCTTTTTGACGTATAGGTGGGCGATGCTGCAGTATTTTTGTCAACTGGCAGACCTGACAGGCCGTACATTGGCAGGATCAAGTCCATGTGGGAGGATAACGGTAGTATGACCGTCCAAGTCAAATGGTTCTATCATCCAGAAGAGTTGCAACATCACAATTTGACTCTAAAATATCCAGTAAGTATTTTTTTTAATAAAATTAATTCACTATATAGTCTATAAAATGAATAACTTTGAATTTTGACCGTTATTTTTTACCAATATGGCAAATATAAAATCCCTCTGTCAAAGAAATTACTGATTTCTTTTAAATTGAGTACCTGAACGAATCAGATAGGTAACTCTTTTTACTTTCGTGAAATAGAAAAGGAAAATAATAAAACAAGTGACAGTTCTTCCTCTTCTTGCAAAAATCAACACGAAATGTCATAATTGTCAAAAGTAAAATGTCATCAGCTTTTGACATTTCTAAATATCAGACCAATGCCGTCTCTAATAGAACAGCCTCGGAGCGAGATTTATGACGTCACGCTAGTTAGATACTACGGATTAATAAATATGTGGTAGAATACATGGAAAACTTAATTATTCCTCGTATTTTTGATTTGTATTTTAAAAATGATATAGTTTACATGAAATATACATAATATACAGTTAATAAATACAATATATATACCTATTTATAGTAATAAATACTTTGGCAAATAAACGATGAACCATACAAATACCGCAAATGTTTTACAATATACAAATAATGAATAGGTACATAAGATAATGGGTAAAATGTAAAATATATTTTAAATTTTTGAGTTTGAAAATCGATATAATTTAACAAAAAACATTCAATATCTACTAATAGTGATGTATTATTATTTGCATTCACAAAATTTATATGTATATTTCGCAAGTATCGATGTTCGAAAAATTATATTTGCAAATAATACAATATCATAGAAAAAAAAGCGTCAGCGATGGCTATGAAATAAAGATCGCTGTCATTTTATATGTAAAATTATTCTAAAATTTTTGATTTTCGAAAAAAATACGAGTAATAAGTATGTTTTCCATTTATTCTACAACATATTTATTAATCCGTAGTATCTAACTAGCGTGACGTCATAAATCTCGCTCCGAGGCTGTTCTATTAGAGAGGGCATTGCGTCAGCAGGGCCGCAAGTTGCTAATCTAATAAAATTAACACTAGAAAAGCCCGCGGGAACTGTCAAATTCAAAGTTATTCGTTTCACAGACTATAGTTAAATGAATCGAATTTTTGAAATAGTCATCGTCTTACACGATTATTATAATATATTAAGATATTATTTTAAGTCGGATTTTGTTATAGGGCGCACTTTTTGAATCCGACCATATAGACGAGAACGACGTTCAAACTATATCGCACAAATGCGACGTGGTACCACTCAAAGACTATATCAGGCGTTTCGGGAACGACCCCCTCGCCTACGACACTGTCTACGAAAATAATGACATGTACTACCTTGCCGGATTGTACAAACCTACCACTTACTTCCTCAGGATGGAACCGAACATACCAACAAACCAAGACACTTAATATTTCCCTGTATTCTCCAGGGAAATTCTGTTTATTATTACTAACTCAGTACAAAGAATCTATTGTAGTTACTTACTTTTAGGTCTGAGAATCATGTTGTACAGAGTGGATGAACGTTTTTTTTTGGTAGTATTGACAATACGGATCGGATGAAAAAGAAATAATTATACAGGAGTATTGAAAAGCCTAAAAGAGCAATATATACACAAGATAGATGTTGTTTGAATGTAAGGAAAAAATCTAGTGATTTTTGGTGCTACCGTTTACGACAGACGTTGGTTTTTATATATATTTATTTGTTCATGTTTAAGTGTATTTATAATCTCTCTTCTCTCGTCTCGCGTTGAGTTAATATTTTTACGCGTTCTCTCGTGTGATAATCACATGTTTGTTTGTGTTTTTTTGTAATATTAAATATGAAGAACAAAATATTTGAAGTTGTTGCAAGATAGGCTACTGTCGTAATCACCAATATAATCATTTTATATTGTCTTAGTAAACCTTTTCTAAAGCCAGACATATTATAATCTACATGACTTTTTCTATGGTGTATTTTAGATCTCATAGTTTCACTGTATATCAGATATATCATACTCTCAACAGCAATTTTGAGATCTCACAATTTATTTACATAGACTCTGTCTTTCCTAAACTTTTTTATTCAATGCTATAATACTCTCTTAATAATTTTTCTACAGTCTTTTAAAGATATCTCATCTGTCTCAGTGTCTATGACATCTCATAGGTCATTTTTAAAGACTCAAGATGTTATGACGCTGATTATAAAATAGAACGCGTTGTAATGGTATACTGCAGTTTTTGTTAAGCCTGTATAAGTTCTCATAGGTCTTCAGCATCTCAAGCTATAGGTATACTGTTGATTTAAAAAAAAATGCTGTTATACTGGATTATTTCATTAGTCTATGAGATCTCGTGGGTCATTTTCAGAGTCTCAATCTTTATCAATCTGTTAAGGCAGAAAAATCAGATATATCTCATTATATTTCTCTGCTACATTTTTTGTTCAGACTTTATTAGGTCTCATAGGTCTTCAGAGTCTTAGTATTTCTCTAACTGTTTTTTTTTTATAGAAATATACTGTTATACTCGATTTTTTTCTAGTCTCTGTGAGATCTCATAGGTCATTTTTAAAATCTCAAGACAGAAAAATAAAATGTACTGCATTATAATAATACTCTACTCAACTGTTTGTTCAGACTCAAGGTCTCAGAGGTCTTCATTGTATCAGTATTTGTCAAGTTGTTATTTAATACTCTCTACTGCAATTTTGAGATTTCATAAGTCATTTATGTTAAGTATTACTACAATACTCAAAATATTTCTAAAGCCTAGGAGATCTTATAGGTCCTATAGAGACTAAAGATTCAAATCTCAGTATTTATCGGTTCCCTAATAGTCCTTTTTAGTCTAATAGTCAGTCTGTTAAAATATTTAAATATTCTTTGAGATCTCATAGGTCATATTATGAGATCTCATAGTTTATATTCATAGTCTCAGTATTTGTCAGGCTGTTGTATTAAGGTATTTAAAAATTGTGCAGATAAATTAATAACTGGGTTTTCTCTTCAGGTTGATTAAATCTCATAAGTCATCTCTTTATAGTCGCATCTCTGTATTTACCAAGCTGTTGAGTTGAAGAGTAGTCTTGATGAGGTATCTCATCAGATCTCATAGGTCAGTAAAAACGATTAAATCCCAGTTTTCTGTTTCCATGATATCTCATAGGTCATTTAGATTTTGGGTCTTTCTCTGACTGTTGAGATTATAATAAACCATAAAACAACGCTAGTATTTTGGTGATTACGACTGCAGTCTATATAAAAAAGGAATATTAAAGATTTGGTCTATCTGTTTAGTCTAATATCACCCAAAATGGGCCGTATTAGAATACTTAAATGATATTTCAGTTTTTTTCTGACTAGAACTAGAATTTCTTCCCATACCTACTTATTGAAAAAGAAAAACACAAAACAAATGAACCAGGATATAAAATTAAGTAAATTATATTTATATTTAGGATTAAGGAACCAAAAAAAAGCAATTATTAGATTTTGGTGTCAAAAAACTTTTCCCATACAAATTTATCAGTAGTTTGTTGCCTGTATATACATATTTAACTTCTAGAATCAGTCTAGTTTTTCGTGTCTTTGATATAATTATATATTGACAGAAAATTACACAACTATATATCTATATAAATATATATTTTGATATTAGGACCAATAGCTACATACGTCATTTTGGTCTGTTTAACTTAATAAGGTACCCTAACAAAAAAAATAATAAGTATATTATCTAAAATTTTTCACAATCATATAATAATTATGAAACGTTTGGACTGTTAAAAAAGGTGCCTAATTTTTACGTATATTCGACCTGATGACTGATAACTATTGGACTAGCATATAAAAAAGATATCTATAAATATTTAAACATAAAAAAAATAAAGTTCATGTCTGCCAACTCGAAAAAAATGTTGCGTTGTTACCTGACATTTGTGTTGGTAGACTTGCAAAGAAAAAAATAAAAACCCTAGTAATCAAAACTAGTTTTGCTGGTGATATACATATCTAAGATTGATATTCTGACTGAAAGTGTAGAATTTATATAATAAGGAACGTTTTTAAGTTTGATTTTTAGGGTTTTTTAACTCTTATTGTATAGTAATTAACGTAGTTTTTAATCTTAAGTACTTTAAACTATTCTCGTGCAATGTACTCAAACAAAATAGTACTTAGAATGAAGTGAAGAATCAAAACTTAGCATTATTTAAAAGTATTATTTTGAGTGTTTTTCTCAGTTAAGTTCGCAAAAAGAATTTTTGTATTCTTTACACTTCCATTTTTTCTTATACCAGTGATTTGAAAATCAGTATGAGTTTTCAGAGCACCCTGTATACCATTAACGTTAATATATTTTCAGTTTTATTTGATATAGTAACCAAGTAACACATTCTTAAGCGTCATTTTTGTGAAGAGTGTGTCGCTTGGTAAAAACTCCAGCTCAAGTGAGTTTAATTTTTTTTCGATTTTTTTACTGTTTAGTTTTCTAGTTTACCAATATACGCTTATACATTTTTTAGGTGCTTAAAAAGTATACAAAATAGGTCGACTCTGTTTTTAGAGTTATTTTTACTCGTTTTTTTTTCGTTTTTGGTCCTTGAAAATTTCTTTTAGAATGTCTTCTAAAAATTTTTCCGCCATTCTTACGTAGTATCTACGTTCAATTTTATTATAGGTTTCTTTTCGAGAAAATTGAGAAAAAAAAAACGGTGTCATAGTAGTCGAAAATTTAACATTTCGGAAGCTACCGTAACGTTGTTTTTTTTTTCTCGATTTAAAGTTATTAGGCATTCTAAAGAAGGCATTTTTTCAAACTAATAAGAGTTATATATTTAAAGAAAAAAAAACAATAACGTAGATGTTAGGCATTAAAAAAATAGGTATTTTACTACTAATAATAACTGAAAAGCTTGAATGTGTGTGTTGTACAGAAATACCTTTATTTTTGCATATTAATGAAATAAACAGATGAAAAAAAAACGTATAGTATATTATCGATATATATTATGAGTTTAGATGTATTTTACTAAAACCATCAGGGTCTAAAAGAAAACGATTTTTAGAGAAAGTATGAACAATTATAATTTGTATATAATATTATATCGGCTTGTACATATTGAAAGCTTGGCTCTCTCATTAAAGAAAATATTAAAAATTGTGGTGTTTTATTTGTACTAATCTTTTTTTAATAATTTTTTAAGGCTTTTTGTCATTCAAGAGACCTTGGTTATGATGTTTGACGTTACACCAATAACCAAGCAGAGAAAAATAAAACTTTGTGGCGTCTTCTATTAGCAGTCTTGTGAACTAAATTAATTCTAAATATGTGGCGCCCTCTATGAGACGCTTGCCGAACCTATATATTGATGATTCCTGTAATTTGTAAGTATGTAGCGACACCTACCGAGAAATAGCCTAATGTTTCATAATTTTTTACTGGTTTCTGTAAAAAAAAATACTGTTGCGACATCTATTCATTAGTAACTGAAGTTTGAGTTTATTTAAAGAATTCTGTAATTTTTAGTCCCCATAATGTGTTGAATTAGCGCCATCTCTGAAATAAATTTTACACTATATTTTATTTTAACCTAAGAAATTTATACGAAATTTTTCCCCGATGTTTTTAGTTGAATTTTAGAGTAAATTAATAAAATAAAAATATATAAATTATGCTGCTTTTATCTGAAAAGGTAGGTGAATTTTGTTCAGACTGCTGTTCAATATTACCGCCTTTAAGGTACACTGAAATAGTTATATAAAGACTTGATCGAAAGAGTACAATTCCCAGAGTGTGTTTTATATGTATTCCGAGTTTTTTTATATATTTTATTAATATTTTAGTGTTAAGAGAAGGAAATACTACAGTGCTTTACATGATATATTTTGATTCGCCCCATGTACAATAGAAAAAGGAAGACTTGAAGGTATTTGATGACGAGAAACAAGGTGATGGGTCTATAGTTGAAAGACAATGTCCTAAATGATATAATAATGAAATGTCTTATGCTGCAGTCGAACTTAGGTCGGGTGATATTGGGCAGACAGTGTTTTATACTTGTACAAAGTGTAAGTATAAGGAAAACTAAAATTCATAATGAAACAACTGCTTTATGTACATACTTATTCTTTGCACCATTTTGATCGTAAAATAAACAATTTAAATGTAACGGGTAGGTATTACAATGAAATTACTTAGTTGTAATGCTTAAGTTTTTTTTATTAAACTCAATTTTAGTATCAGCATAGTATTAACATATCTGAAATTAAATTGTATTTCATTCATTTTCTTGCTCTCGTAATATCTTGCGTTTTCGCCACTTGGTATAATCCTTGTATAATATAATTCTTTTTCGGAAAACATGCATATTTTTAACTGGAGCCAACTTATATAAGCTTTCCTGGATATTTCAGTCATATTAAAACAGGGAAATTAAGGAAATTCTAAAAAATATAAAATATATTCAATCATCCGAATTTATATACGGCATGCAACCAGTAATACAAAAGTACTAACCGTGGCCTCTAAAGTAGACCGTTTCTCTCTGTTTTGTACAACGCTAATCGTAGATAAACAGTTATAGAAATATTTCTAAAGTTTTGCGTTTCTATTCCCAATTACCAATATTTCTTTTTTGAAATCCACAGGTTACACAAGAATTTTTTTAAGTAATGGATTGTGATTGGTCAGCTCAGAATTGTCATTTGATTTTCACGCCTGTGTTGCCAAGATATTAACAAAGTCCTGAAACTAATCTAAATCAATATATTTGTAGGTATACAACGAATTGAACCCTTACTAATTCATGATAAATATATTATAAATATAATACAAATATTGTTTCAGTAGAATAAATATTATTTTTCTTTTAGACACAGCTTGGACACAGCATTATTATTACAGCAAAAAAGCATCACCTTGATTTACATGTGTGTTCAATCTGACAACATTGACAGTGTATCATTTTCCGTTGTACACGCAGCGTGTCCTTGCTCTTATAATTTTTCTAATTTTTGGTAGAAAAAGTTGTTTTTCTGTACACTGTATGAGTGTATGTTGTTCCTTAAGGCCCGTTACACCTCCTGAACATGTAAGTGCTCATTATTTTGTCTGTTTTCTATAGTTTTTTCCCTTTCAAATATTTCAGTTACATCATCTTTAAAAGCATTTTTTCATATTTTCATAATTTTCTTTTTCTATATTGAGTATAGGGAAATATAGATACTTTCCTTGATGTCTCTATAGTACTTTAAACATTTAGTTACCCTGAGTATCGCTTATTTAGAGGCATTTGATATTTTTTGGTCAATTTTTTTTGGAATAGTTTAAAGATGTTTTGCATTCCTAATTTCTTTAGGTGTTTATTTGTACAGGCAAACAAGTTTTTGCTACGTTGTTTAGAAGAGGCCCCCATTATCAATAATTATATAATATTTTCAGATAACAAAAAAACCTTTAAACTTCACACGTTAACTATATACTGCCATCATATTTTAGATAATAATTTTGTATTATTTTAATATAATTCTTTAATTGTTTTTTAGGAGCGTTATTAATACACCATACACATCCATAAATACCACCTAAAACGAGATACCTAGGTTATCCCTTATATAATCCGGATGTTTAGCCATCATTCTGATTTACGAGATTGGTCTTCTATTATATGATTGAAAGTAAGTTTAATTTATAATTTAATAGCTATTTATGTAACTAGTACCTAAAATGATGTTTTTTAGGACGAATCATTACTGTTTGCGGACGAGGCGTTAGCCGAGTCCGAAATAGTAGATGAGTCCTAAAAAACATAATTTAGGTACGTGTTACATACACTATTTTTTGTCATACGCTTTTTACAGTTTTTTAGAACGCATTTTGTACAACAAATCAGTGGATGTATGCAGTTCTGGGGCAGTACATTTATCCTTTTGATGAATATTACCAATAATGAATCAGGAATTTTAAGTATTTTTCGAGATAACTGTATTTCAGTTCAACCAGTCATCAGTGGAATGAGGATTTAATTCATCATTGAAGAGGAAGCTAAATAGTTTCAGGTACATTAACTAAAAGGTGTATTTTTTCTGTGTCTGTTAAATCGGAATGTTATTGTATTTTGTAAAATAATGTAGATATTAACGATTAATCTCGTAAAACGCTTTGGTGCACAATTTACTGTAGTTTAGGCAACTAAAAATACATCTAGAATTTATATAATTTTTATTTTTAGGCAACTAAAATAAGACTGAAATTTTAGTTATTAATTTTTAGCACTTTTAATTAGATAACAGTTGAGGGTTGGAACCTTTGGTGTTACACAGCAAAATAAAAAACACTAAATCACCACAATACACCAAAACACTTACTTTTACACTGGACGCGCGTTTCGCTAACCATGTTAGCATCATCAGCAGATTATTATAAACAGTTTATAATCATGCTAACATGGTTAGCGAAATGCTCGTCCAGTGTAAAAGTAAAAGTGTTTTGGTGTATTGTGGTGATTAAGTGTTTTTTATTTTACTTTTAATTAGTATAATTAATATACGTTTCAATTAGAGATACAGTTAATTCAGTATTATCGAGAAAAAATGGCGTCAGCGATGGCTATGAAATGAAGATCGCTGTCATTTTATCTGTAAATTTATATGGAAAATGTCATCGATCGTCATTTCCCAGCAAACTGGACGCCGTTTTTTTTTTGATCATACAGTTATTATGTTATGAAGATTTCTATATGTATATCTTTATAATACCGTATGATCGAAATAAAGCGGCTTTCAGTGGGCTTGGAAATGACGGTCGATGACATTCCTTATATAATTGTATATATAAAATGACAGCGTTCTTGATTTCATAGCCATCGCTGACGCCGTTTTTTCGATCATGTTGTACCGTATGATCGAAAAAATACCGGTGTGCGATTGGCGTGGAAATGATGATTGATGACATTTCCCACATAATTTTACATATAAAAAATGACAGCGATCTTTATTTCATAGCCATCGCTGACCCCGTTTTTTCTATCATATTGTACCGTACGATCGAAAAAAAAACGGCGTCTGGTTGCTGTGGAAATGATGCTCGAAGACATTTTCCACATAATTGTTCATATAAAATGACAGCGATCTTCATTTCATAGCCATCGCTGACGCCGTTTTTTCAATCATATTTACTGTATGATCGAAAAAAACGGCGTCCGGTTGGCGTGGAATTAATGATCGATGACATTTCTCACATAATTTTACATATAAAATACGTTCTTCATTTCAGAGCCATCGCTGACGCAGTTTTTTCGATCATATTCTACCGTATGATTGAAAAAAAACGGCGTCCGGTTGGTGTGGAAATGATGCTCGATGACATTTTCCACATAATTGTACATATAAAATGACAGCGATCTTCATTTCATGGCTATCGCTGACACCGTTTTTTCGATCATATTGTACTGTATGATCGAAAAAAACGGCGTCCGGTTGGCGTGGATATAATGATCGATGACATTTCCAACATAATTTTACATATAAAATGGCAACGTTCTTCATTTCAGAGCCATCGCTGACGCAGTTTTTTCGATCATATTCTACCGCATGATCGAAAAAAAAAACGGCGTGCTGTTGGTGTGGAAATGATGCTCAATGACATTTTCCACATAATTGTACATATAAAATGACAGCGATCTTCATTTCATAGCCATCGCTGACGCCGTTTTTTCGATCATACGAAAAAAACTGCGTCCGGTTGGCGTGGAAATAATGATCGATGACATTCCCACATAATTTTACATATAAAATGACAACGTTCTTCATTTCAGAGCCATCGCTGACGCAGTTTTTTCGAACATACTGTACCGTATGATCGAAAAAAAACGTCGTCCGGTTGGCGTAGAAATAATGATCGTATAAAATTTTACGTATAAAATGACAGCAATCTTTATTTCATAGCGATCACTGAGCCGTTTTTTCGATCATAATGTACCTTATGATCGAAAAAAAAACGGCGTGCTGTTGGCGTGGACATGATGGTCGATGACTTTTCCCACATAATTTTACATATAAAATGACAGCAATCTTTATTTCACAGCTATCACTGACGCCTTTTTTTTATCATATTGTATTTTATGTATCCTATCTATTCACTGATTATTTAAAGTTATAGAACAGATCTTCATTAAGGCTTGTTAGTGGATAAATAATTAATTATTTCTTTATATTTTTTTTACAGAACCAACGCGTTCCAGAGAGGTAGCCAGTGGATTTATTTACCTCAAGAGACATTAGCATGTCCATCAACACCTTGGATTTTAATTTACTTTTTATATTATTCTTGTTAATAAAATATAATATTTTAATAAATAATAATTAAAAATAAATGAGTTTTATTGAACCAAAATATACATAGAAATACTGTCTAATCCTGAACATAAAGACAAAGTCATTTAATTATCACTAAGTTAATATATTCTAATACTAAAAAACTTCTTAAATCTGATCAGGAATAGACAGTATTTTATATAAAAATAATAGCTACGAATACCTCCTTGTTATTATGATCTCCTGATATAAATCCCTGGTAGTTTGTCTTTTAATAAAAATTGCACGAAAATTTTTAAGTATATACCTCTTCGCTCTTATGTACTCCTAATATAAATCCGAGAAAATACAGCTTTTAACAAAAATCGTACGAACATTTTTAATCTTTCTCCAAAATTACTGATTTCTATCAGGAGCACATAAGTGAGAAGAGGTGAGGAGTAAATTAAGTACCAATATTTTTACCTAGTCGCTCTTATGCACTCCTGATACTAACTCGAGAAATTCAATTTTTGTCAAAGAGTGCACGAAAATTTTTAAACCTGGCCAAAAATCGTCGATTTCTATCAGGAACGCATAAGAGCGAAGAGGTAAGGAGCAAATTGAGTACCACATGTAAATATAGCATCGATCAACGATATTTCTGCTATCTCTAGCACTTCGAACTCGTTTCTAAACTTCAACCCTTAATATCTCGGAAACTATAAGGGTTAGAGAGGAACGGAACTCGGCATTCGATTCGCCTTTCAACCCTCTATAAGGGTGCATAATTAGGGCTCGATCGGAGGCAAAAAAAAATTTTGGGGAAAAATGAGGTAAGGGGTTAACCTTCCTTCATTTTTCCTCAAACGTTTTTTTTGTCTCCGATCGCGCCCCAAATTTGCACCCTTATAGAGGGTTGAAAGGCAAATCGAATGCCGACTTCCGTTCATCGATATCTCTTATAGTTTAGAAGTTATGGCCCTTTTTCGAAAAAATCTAACTCATTCTAACTCGTTGGTCCAGTACTCTAGTTTTTCACCTAGTCGAATTATTTTGACCAACTTTTGTTAAAAATCTGACCATACTGAGAACAAATGGGAGCGAGGATTTAAAAATTTGTAGCAACATGTATTTATATGTGCTCTTTTAATACAAATAATTTCTACTATATTATATTTACCTCTTCGCTCTTATATATTCCTAATATAAAACTTAGATTTTCTCAACTTTAACATAAATTGTACCAACATTTTTAAACGTCAAAATCACCGATTTCTATCGGGAGCATATAAGAGTGAGGAGGTAAGGAGATATGTATTATGTAGATATATACAAATACCCATGGAAATAAAACATAAGTATTTTAACTAATTCACTTTATTTATAATACAAATCGTACAAAAATAAAATACAATATATACAAGGTGTATCAAAAAAGATGCACGTAGAGGACCTGGATCATGGTGATGTTAGATGGAAACTTCTGCACTGAAAAGAATAGAAAAATCATATTAGTACGGCATCATTTTCTTATTACATATACAAAATCTGTTTCTACAATATGATCGAAAAAAAAACGCCGTCAGCGATGGCTGTGAAATGAAAATCGCTGTCATTTTATATGTAAAATCATCTGAAAAATGTCATCGATTTCAAAAACAAATTTTGACGATATTTTCTCAATCGTATAGTAACGCATAATTAAAAAAAAAAACAGCGTTAAGTCGGCTTGGAAACGACAATCGATGACATTTGCTATATAATTTTACGTAAAGAAATACCACGAACTTCGATGCCAATTCCAACGTTGTTTTCTTTCGATAGTATAGTCAAAACAGCATGGCAAAAAAAATCAACGTTAAGTTAGCTTAGAAAAAACAATGCATGACATCTCCATACAATTTTGAATGTAAAATGACAGCGATCTTCATTTCCAATCCAATTCTAACGCCGTTTTTGTTAGAACGTATGGTACTATATAATCATAAAAAAAAACAGCGTTAAGTTGGCTTAGAAATAACAATCGAGGGCATTCTCCTTATAATTTTATATAAAAAATGACAGCTGAGTACATTTTATATTGAAAAAATAAATTATTTAGTTAATACCTGCTTGGGAACACTAAGACATTATTCATTCGTTGACAGCATTCAGGCTCAAGTGGTGGGTGATATTTTTGAAGAAAATCTGAAACAAAAAAGGTGCAATTAAGATAATTTTTCTGTAAAAGAATATATAAAATAAAGAAATAATAATGTATGCTATATTTGTCTTTTTTATACTGCATGGTCGAAGAAAAAACGGCGTCCAGTTGGCTTGGAAATGATAATCGATGACATTATTCCCATATAATTTTACATATAAAATGACAGTGATCTTCATTTCATAGCCATCGCTGACGCCGTTTTTATTCGATCATACAGTATTAACTTAATTTAACGTAAATAGAATCAATGTCATTTCCCATATAATTTTACATATAAAATGATAGTGATCTTCATTTCATAGCCATCGCTGACGCCGTTTTTATTCGATACTCGTAAAGATTCGTAAATAGAATAAAAAAAACGGCGTCAGAGATGGCTATGAATTGAAAATCGCTGTCATTTTATATGTAAATGTATATGGGAAATTTCATCAATCGTCATTTCTCAGCCAACTGGAGCCGTTTTTTTTATCATACGGTACTTGAGTTGTTAATGTTAACGGTGTTACGATACGATATTAAGATGGTTTTCATCCATGTTCAATTATATACTTATAACTAAATAAACTTATTACTTACTTTACAATTTCTGTGTCTTTTCTCTAAGATTTTTTTAATGAAGACTCTTTGGCTGGTTGATTACGTGGTACTGTCTCAGGAATGTTTGCTTTTCCCATTTCTAGCTATAAAAGAATGTTAGGTTTTAGTAAATATATCAAAGAATCTAGAAATCCTTGCTTTTAACCATGTTAATAAGTTATTACTTTGATATTTAAATAAAATGAGCTATTTTTTTTAATAAAAACTAAGTTAAAAAATAAACAACAATGAATAAAAAACTTTTTTTTATATTATTCAAAGCAGAAACATAATAGATTGACATTTCTATTTCTCCCTAAACTATAGGCAACTCAAAATACAGAAAAAACAAATATATGTTTTTCTTAAAATAATTTGAAATAAATATTAATATGGCCAAAATTAGGAATATCTAGAGTTTGTTTTATATTTACTATAACAAGTAAAAATTTACAGCTTATATTGACTATTATTTCACCAATCTGTATACCAGCTGAAGAATTTTGGTCGAAGAAATTTTATCCAAGACAAGTACTAAGAAATGGATAAATAGAGTAATTACTAAAGACTAAAGTACAATGTTCATATTGAGTGAGAAGGAATCTTAGTAATTCAAATAATTAAATTAATATATTAATTATTAATAACCCATGTAAGGATTTCTTGAAATCAAAAGTGAATCTTGATCGGCCAGAAATTGAGCCGCTGAGAAACTGCACTTTAAAGCACCTCTTTTTAATGCCAAGGACAAAATTAAAAGAAAACATCCAAGAGAAGACAATGTCTAAAGTACTTACTATTTCTTTTTCAATTTTTTATTATTACATATTAATATTTCAGGATTAAAACAAGTTTCGAACATCACAAAAAGAAATTCCCATATATCCAAATTGAAAAATGTTTTTAATGATAGAGAAACATTGTAAAAAGGATAATTTTTATTAGTAACTCAGACATATGTGAGGAATATCTATATTATTATAAACTACGGTGAAAACAACAAAATATGGCATAGAAAATAAGTTTTACTCTAGTTATGTTAATACTGATATTAAAATTAAGTTTTCTAAAGAAATTTGTGCATTGTGTCAAAGTAATTTTATTGTAATACTCACTTGTTATATTCATGTAATATATTTAACACTCCAGAACGATGCAAAGAAGTAAATTATGTACAAAAACCAGTTGTTTTACGAATTTATGTTTTCGTTGAATTTACAGTTTGTACAAGTAGAAAACACTGTCTGTCCTTTCTCAGTTGGCCTAAGTTGAGTTGTAGTATAAGGCATTTTATTATTATCACATTTAGACCATTTTTTTCTACTATAGACCCTTCATCTTCTTGCGTCTTGACATCAAGTACCTTCAAATCTTCCTTTTTCTCTTGTACATAACGCGAATTAAAGGGTACCTTGTAAAGTATTGTACTATTTCCTTCTCTTCATACTAAAATATTAACAATACCTATAAATAAAACTAGGGAAACGTAATATACACACTCAGGATTATACTATTTCGATCAAGTGTTTACATAACTATTTCAATATGTCTCTTAAGATCGGTTATATTGAACAGGAGTCTGAACAAAAATCACCTACCTTTTTAAACATGGACAACATAATTTATTTGTTTTTATTTTATTAATTTACGTAAAAATTTAACTAAAATCCTTGAGAAATTTTCTATTTCACAGTTGTATTTTCTTAGGTTAAAATAAAATATAATGTAAAATTTTAATCAGAGATGGCGCTAATTCAACACTTTTTGGGCACTAAATATTGCAGAATTCTTTAAATTAATTTTAATTTTCTAACTAAACTTTTCTTACTAATTAATAGATGTCGCAAGAGTATTTTAAAGAAACCTGTAAACATTGTTAAAGATTAGTCTACCTATCGACAGGTGTCGCCACACACTACCAGTTTACAGGAATCTTCAATGGATTAATTTTGGCAATTGCCTTATAGATGGCGCCACTAGTTTAAAGTTAATTTTGTTTAGATTAATAATAATAGAGGGCGCCACGAGTCTTAAAAATTATTTAGTTTAAAATTTGGCCGACAGTTGGCGCCACATTATATTTAAATTTAGCATTTGTCCTTTTTTTTAATCTATCTTTAATATAAAATATGGGTTTGTCAAGAAAAACTTAATGGCTCTATAATTTATTATAATCATGTTTGTAATTAGAAATTAGGTGTTTTTATAATTAAAACTAAAAAACAACTAATTTTGTCGTAAAAGATACGTAAGTAGTGATGATAAATAGTAACAAAAGAAAGAAAAATAAAACACAACCAGAAATAAGCAAATTTTATTATTAATAAGATATGTTTATTACATTATTTTAATATTTTCTCTAAAAAAATAATTACCTACCAACCTATAAGTTTATATAAAATTGGCACACCATAATACTGCAGCATTATCCTCGAGAAATAACTAGGTAACATTTTAGAATTAAATTCAAAGCGCAATGCATTTTTAATTTTCCCCTGATGCACTTTTAATGTCGCCAAGAAATGCAGGCAGGGATGGAAAAACAAAAAATAAACTTTAGACGCATTACGCTTCCTGCAACAGCTGTGGTATCGTTATTATATAAAAGCATCGCAAGAATGTATCTTTATACAAAATAAAATGAACATCATTCAACATCTTTCAAACTTTTTGCAAACATAATTCAGACAATAATTTTAAATGATACAATATTAAAAATTATACCGGGCATAGATTTAATTTTTAGTCTATCATACAGGGTATTCCTCAATTACATGCTAAGATTTAAGGGTGTGATTATTGTACCTATTCTAAGAAAAATACTATTTACATTAATTCATGAGGTACTCCAGGGGTAGTAATTTTTTCTAAAAAATAGTCTTCATAATAACTTTATTATACAGGGTGTCCCAGAAATAAGTGCAAGTATTTTAAGGAGTGGTAGTTCTCGATAAAAGAAACATATTTTCTCTTTATCGTTTTTCAAATGAGTCCAAAATAACGGAGTTATTTTACTTTAAACATTTCCAAAAAAGTGATTTTTTGGTAAAATTTTGAGAACCACTGGATCGTTTTTGAATTTTCTTTCTTGTAAATTTAATCTAATACTTATGTTGATATATTATCAAGAAATTTTATTTTTTTTAACTAAAAAAAAATCAAAAAAATTTTTAATTTTTTTTTTCGCAAAAAAACCTCATAGGCGTGTTTCTGGGGTTGAACTATACTACCAGTTAAAATACTTGCACTTATTTCTGGGACACCCTGTATATAGGTACATATCTTTAGATTTGATACGCGTCTTCTATGCATCAAAATACATTTTTCCATGTTTAAAAAAAATTGTTTAAAAAATATCAGTCATCGAAACAGATTTTAAGCGATTTAACTTTGAAGTAAAGTCAGTGGCGGATACAGAGGGGGGCCCATGGGGTCCGGGCCCCCCCTAAAATCTGTAAATTGTGTTAAATATTAGGCTTTTGGGATAAAAATGGCGCCCTAAAAAGCGTATTCTACACTGCTTTTTATTTTGGGCCCTCCTCTAAACTAAATTCCTGTATCCGCCACTGAGTAAAGTGAATTAATTTTTTTAAGCAAAATATGTGTAATATGTACCGTATGATTCGAGAAAAAACGGCGTCAGCGATGGCTATGAAATGAAGATCGCTGTCATTTTATATCTCGTTTTATATGTAAATTTATATGGGAAATGTCATCGATCGTCATTTCCCAGCCAACTGGACGCCGTTTTTTTTCGATCATACGGTATATAATTATGTTTTTGTAATTTTTATTTTTCGTATGGACTCCAGTGGTTAAAGTAAAATTGTTTTTACACCAAAAATATATTTTGATGCATAGAAAACGAGTATCAAGTTTCATAGAGAAATGAATAATATCAGAGCACTAATAACTCTGTGATCGGAGATATAAAAAGATTTTTTTTTGAAAATTTTACCACCTTGAATTTCCAAAGTTAAGATGTTTAGGACATACATTCAAATGAAGTTTTTTTCTTAGAATATGTCCAAGAATCATGCCATTAAGAACCACCCTGTATAACAGTATTTCTTCAAAGTTAATACATATTTAAACCTGCCGACTAACCTTCTTATCTTCAATATCAGTTCCCATTAACTCCGTATCTGATCTGGCGGAAATACGTCAAAAGAATTAACTTTGCAAGGAGGAAAATAACTATTTTCAGGTCATCTGAGATTTAGAAGATAATTTTTGTCGGGGCTTCAGGATTATCGACAGCCAGGAACGGGAAAAGGGACGAGAATGAAATGAAAAACAACTCTGTCAAGAAAAACTGAGGATAGTGGTTAATTTTTCTGATTTCTGACAAATCAGAGACTGCTTTTTTATTTTTTTTTACTTAATTTTAGAAAATTTCTCATAAATTTACATTTTCTTTAAGTACTTACGTACTTACGTACTTACAATAATTAGTGTCAACAGAAAATAAAATCATACCACCATCATATCATAAATAACTAACTTAAAAATCCTTACCGTACATACCTATAAATCACTTTTGATTAACTAAGGATACGCATTGCAAAATGGTTATTATCCTAAAATATTTCATAGTAAGTATGATAATGAATTATTTTTTGATTGAATGAACTTTTTCAAGCTAAAAACATCACGTCAAGATATTTTCCTAGGAATTTTCTTTAGAACTTCTATTCAGATGTCACCAAAATTCTTGATCGGTTAAGCATAAAAACATTGTTAAATAGAAATGTTAGTTTTTGTATTAGAGTTGAAATTAGAATGAACGGCTTGAAAATGTTAAGTTTAAATTTGGAATGTGCTAATACAGGGTGTTGGTGAAAATATGGTGGATCTACATAAAAGAAAGTATATAAATAAGCTTTAATCAACAATCTCGAAGCTATAAGATAATAAAATAATGCACGACCTGACAGTAACTTTTCTTATTACCGCAATTTTTCCAATAAAACTTGTGCAAATCACGACAAGTCGAAAGCCGAGGAAAAAGCAGCGAATGCCGAAGTGGTTTACATAAATTTGGAGCCTTAAAAATGATTCGTCGTTAGGCAACAATCGTCGCGCTCTCGTTACTTGGAGGGAAAATTGCGCCAAAAGGAAATCCAGAGGAAAAGTTGGCGGCGGAAGATAATTTTTCGAATATCCTCGCACCGGAAACCAAAAACTTTTCGCAATAAACAACTAAGCTAAACTCGTATAGTTGTTTGCGATGTAAACAACGAGTTGCTTGTATAGTTTGAGGTTCTAAAAATATTTTTATTTTTTGTGAAACTTTCATTCTTGAAAAAAAAACTTTTTTTAAACAATTTTAATAAATACAGAGTGCTGGCTTAAATTGAGACAAAATTCCTTGTTAGTTAGCTCAATAATGATGAGCACTAAAAAGAATTAGAAAAGAGAAACATTTTTTTTGCTCAGTAGGGTAAAAGCCCATAATTCTTCCAATATTTCCTCAAAACTTGAAAAAGTATACAAATAAACATATGTTCTCACAGTTTAGTTTGTATTTATATTCATATTTATTTCACTTACGCAAATAAAACTAATCATATAAACTCCAAGACTTTATAAACACTACTAAACCCTAATCTTTTTCAATAAAAACCCGAGTAAAGTTTATTTAGCTCGTCTCTCCTCCCACGCCGTCACGCTTAGTCGAACCGTTTCAATTTTTGGCGCAGTTTTCCAGCGGAAAAACTTTTTAAAAGCAGTCGAAAAATCACTTTTACGACTTCCGGAAAAGTTGCTGTTTCGAAAAAATCCGACGGACAGCTTATAAAACTTCCTAAAAGATAGTAAGTAGTTCGGAAAAGCGGTCCGGTCCTTTCCGAAAGTCTAGCTGGCCGTCCCTTTCGGCCCCGCCTTCCCCTAATCGAACTTAAACCGGGATAAACCGGGTGATGTATCGACTCTCCAGCAAGAGATTTTGTCATTCTCAAGTCTTTTTTTATTTGTGAGATAGTTTTAAGTAAAGACAGTAGCTATATTTGTAAAATTACTAGAAAATTTAACGATTATGGTTCCAAGTTAATTTCCTAAAATATAATGGTTCTATCTTTGGTTTGGTCTTCTTCTAGGTCTTTTAATTCCTCGTTGGTAGCATGCTGTGAGTTTGAGAGGTACCACTTTGAGGGACTGTATTTTTAGCCGACCATACCAAAAAAGTTTTTTTAATTTCACTCAAAATGAGTTATTTGGGTCATAAATGACCTAAACACAGAATATTTTCATGGTGTCTGTCTGTCTGTCCGTCTGTAACACGTAACTCAAAAACCGCTAAACCGATTTTAACCAAATTTGGCACAAAAATACTGTGGCACCCGAGAATCTGGCCATTAGTTTTTGGTGGGGGTGGGGTGTTGGTAAGGGGGTATGGGAGGGGGTTAAAAAAATTAAAAAATCGTTACTCCTAAGTTACAGTAGCTAGCGAAACGCGGTTTTCAATTTAAGATTAGGAATAATATTTGCAACAAAATTTGTAATAACCTCAAAATCAGTCAAAGTCGCAGTTTTTGAGATAATTGAAACTAAAAGAACTGCCTAGCAACTTTTTATTAACATATATTAGTATGGGCGGCTATACGTGCCTCCCCACGCCAATTTTTTAACTAAAAATTAAAAAAAATTCTA